CAGATATACCTTGACTGTTGTAACACATGGTCCAGAAATACCATGACTGTTGTAACACTACATGGTCCAGATATACCTTGACTGTTGTAACACATGGTCCAGAAATACCATGACTGTTGTAACACTACATGGTCCAGATATACCATGACTGTTGTAACACATGGTCCAGAGAAACCATGACTGTTGTAACACTACATGTTCCAGAAATACCATGACTGTTGTAACACTACATGGTCCAGAGGACCATGACTGTTGTAACACTACATGGTCCAGAAATACCATGACTGTTGTAACACTACATGGTCCAGAAATACCATGACTGTTGTAACACTACATAGTCCAGAAATACCATGACTGTTGTAACACTACATGGTCCAGAAATACCATGACTGTTGTAACACTACATGGTCCAGAAATACCATGACTGTTGTAACAGTACAAGATTCTCAGACGTCACGACTACACCGTTTGGGGAGAGGTTCACAAGTGGTTTCTTGATTTTTTCCGTATATTATGTATATGATCAACCCATATTATGTAAAAGTTTGAATCAGTAGCGATCTTGTTGTTAGTGTGTATTACTGGATATCAAAAAGTCCAAGGTTCAAGCTGGTATATGCCACGAAAGACGCTCCGCTCATTCAGCGTTGGAGTACTTGTACCGTTAAAGTAATATGAATAGCTGTATGAGCGGCAGGCGCCGCTGACTAGTTACCCTTTCACTGACTCTAGATTAGAGATCACTATGTCTGAGTTTTGGGTCTCATGTGTCGCCCACTCCGGGTTGTTTTTCAGGCCCCAAAATAGTTTTGCGGCTTGAAAGATTTTTAAATCTAACTTCCTGCCACGAATTTGATTTGATTTGAAACACCAGATACGTTTACTCATCTGTAATGTTGCACGTTAAATCGCATACGTGTAGATTAGCATTGGAACGAGTAACTTTACCCGTAGTACATGCGCTAAAATCCGGGGTTCGATTCCTCGCGGTTGACACAGCAGATAGCTCAATGCTAAAAGAAACTTAATAGAATATTTAGATTTTTTTGAAGTTAAGCACAAAGCTACACCATGGGCTATCTGTGCTCTGCCCACCACGGGTATCGAAACACGGTTTCTTGCGTTGTAAACCTGAAGACATACCGCTGTGCCACTGGGGGGGGGCGAATATTTAGATATCTCAGCTAAAAAACATGGGTGGACCAATCGAGTAATACGATATTATTGTACATTCAAATAACATGAAACCAAAACTTCAAAGACTTGTAATCTTCACTTTTAAATGTAATTTATTCCAAAAATACAAAATTTGTCACGCCCTTAAGAGTGGGAGCAGAAAAAGATTTTCAAGATTCAATGAGTAGGTTCTGGAACACTGCAGTGGCTTTTCTACAACTTACATACAAGTACGAGGGACTTTTCACGTCACTTCCTTTGTCTGCTTATAAAATTGTTTTGACTTTTCACGTCACTTCCTTTGTCTGCTTATAAAATTGTATTGTTTGTTTGTTTGGAATTTCGCGCAAAGCTACACGAGGACCATCTGCGCTAGCCGTCCCTAATTTAGCAGTGTAAGACTAGAGGGAAGGCAGCTAGACATCACCACCCACCGCCAACTCTTGGGCTACTATTTTACCAACGAATAACGGGATTGACTGTCACATTATGACGCCCCCATGGCTAAAAGGGGCGAGCATGTTTGGCGTGACGGGGATACGAACTCACGACCCGCAGATTGCAAATCGAGCGCCCTAACCACCTGGCCATGCCAGGCCAGCAGTGTAAGACTGGAGGGAAGGCAGCTAGTCATCACCACCCACCGCCAACTCTTGGGCTACTCTTTTACCAACGAATAGTGGGATTGACCGTCACATTATAACGCCCCCACGGCTGAAAGGTCGAGCATGTTTGGTGGGATGCGGATAAATGCAGTTCTAGTCACGTCGGACAGCAACAACAGTTTCTGCATGGTGTGGGCGTCATAAACCAACATAAAGACCTCTTTAGGTGAAGTGAGCCCTAATATAATCAGAAGATATCTTCATAATAGAGACTATAATGCTACAATAGCAGGCTAGCTAAGCTATCAGAAGCTAAGCCAGTCTATACGCCAAGCAATATCGTATGTTGACAGCAGTGGATATCACAGATGCTTTCAAACAGGCCAATCTTTGGGATGTCTTTAAGTTTTTGCAACGATTTATTATTTGACAGTAAGCACTTGATTTGCCATTTTTTCCCTCAAGAACATCAATTGAACCAACTGCAAGCCACAACAAAAAACTGCGATATTTCTATTGTGATGTAGGGTGCCATTGGATAGGTGGATGATCATGGCTGGTGGTACGCTAAGGGTGGTCACTAAATTCTACAAATCAACTCCATTAAACATGTATGGTCCATCCTGCGAAAACATCCAAAACAAACAACTTTTGGGACTTCCTCGCTCAAGCTTTTCACCATAACTTGTAAATATAATGTGGAAAAAGAGTTTTTGCCTTAAATATTACAGAGAGCATCTCCTCTAAATATTAATGATAATATTGTGCTCTTTGTTTCATGTTTGTTTACTTTACGAACAGCATTCTTTCTGTAACGGATGCCCATTTGCTTATTATTATGCAGTGTATGGTCTGGCGGCTAGTGTAATCCACTCACAGTATGCAGTACAGGTTCGAATCCCCGTCGCTGAATATGCTCACCCCTTCAGCCGTGGGGGCGTTATAATGTTACGGCCAATTTCACTATTTATGGGTAATCTTATAGCCCAGGAGTTGGACGCGGGTAGTGTTGATTAGCTGCCTTTCTTTTTGCTATAATATAGTTGAAGTACAAAGGAAATTTCTCCACATTTGAAATTCGTTTTAAATAATCATACTTATGGTAAGCATTTCTCAATAAAAAAAACAACAATGTCTAGTTTTAGGGCATAACTAAAAGCATTTCCTCAGGGATTACAGCTACACGAACTTTCATTAGTATCTTTATTATTTGTATCAAAAAATAGCAAAATATTACTATTTATTTTTATAAAAGGCCCCTTGATCTCGAAGAGAAATAAAAGATGGCAGTAAGTTTTATATTATGGAGATCTCGTGGCTGTTGTGAATGTGTAAATTGTTCGATTAGTTATTTAATTACTTCCAAAATTTAAGAAAAACTATTTTAAGATTTGTCGTACAAAATACAGTTTATTGATAATGCAAACATCTAATGAAACTGAAGAGACAGAAACATTTGATGAAATACAAAGTTATCATCATGATCAGGTAACTATTGATATTAGTAATACTAATAGGCACTGTTAAGTGTAATACTAATAGTAATACTTGTAAGTTGTAGTAACTATTGACAACTTACGTTAAAAGTAATGAAGTATTGTAACTTGTAAATGTAAGTTAGGGATAATCACGGAAGTTGTAATTGTAAGTTGCAGTATAACTAACGTAAGCCTAACTAACATTAACTGGTGTAGTAATAGTGACAGCAATACTAATACGAATAGTACTGGTAATACTACTACTACTACTATATACTATTACTAGTCTAAAAATAAGATTTTTGACGAGTTTATATGGATGGAATATTCACCAATTTCAGATTATAATGGCATTGTTTTGTTTGAGGCTGAACATCGTAAGTAGTTTCTCAATCACTTCTAAGTTCTATGTCATATCCCAGTTCACTTGAGGCTGAAAAGAACTGTTAGTGATATTGGGTGAAAGGTCGTGTCAGCACTGGATATAGTAGCTAGAACATGGTTGACATTTTGTTATACAGTCTTCTTTAATTTCCCTCAAAAGTTCCTATTAATAGATGTATATACAACCATTTTGAATTTTATGTATTACTCATTTTTTAAGTTATTCAGTTGAACTACGTGGTCACATACACAACACTGACCACCATAATGTGTGTGAAATAATTAAAACAAGTTATTAGAAGGTACATACATAGCTGTAGTGTAATAAGGTTTTGAACAATAGCTGCATGACCATATAATGTTAATAAATATAACTGTTATTTGTATATCTTTTAACTCTCTGTTCTTTTGAACTCAATTTTGGATCTGTTCCTGTGTCTTTATGAACCTGTGCTTGTTGCTTAGGCATTACTAGTGTTGAAATGACACGTTCTTTCTTGGTTTACATTAATGTTTATTTGTTAGTTATGGCACCATACTATGAATTGTTTAAGATTATTTAATATAAGACATATCAACATCAACCTTGTTACTTTTTCTAAATGCAAAGACTTACAAATCTTAGTATTTCTAGTATAACCTTTCTATACATGTGTAGAAATTATAATTAAATATTATTGTAGAATTAATTGGAGAGAGAGAGAGAGTATCATTCGAGGAGTTAAGACATTGGAAAAACAGGCTGAATACTGAAAGCCAAGACATTAGATTCTAAATGTTCCAGTGATAAAGTGATAAAATAAAAACCTCATTCTAGTTGTTAGGCTACTAATAGTACTAACTAGATGTAGAAACTAATATTACAGTGATAGTTAAATTGTAAAAGGAATAGCTGTTTTTGTGTAACTGTACTCTCACCATTTTCTGTTCATAAAATGCCAAACAGTTCTACAAATATACTATATATTTGTGTGTAAGTTTAGAACCACTTTCATCCATGGTGTGATGCTGTCTCAGTATCCAGGTGATTGGTACTATAACATTTATTTTGAGGTTTACCAATTGTTAAGATTATATGTTGTTGTTTTTTATAATCCTTTTCCCTTGCCTAATAGAGCACAAAAAAAATTCCTTTTATTGAAACACTGATTATTTATTGTTGCTAATGATCTTAGTGATACTTTGAATAAACATAAAGAGTCCAGAATAAGTACAGTGGACTTTGATTTGAATAGTTTTCTTAATTCATTGGTTTTGTTTATAGGGAGGAAACATTACTGAGAAGATCTCTATAGGATGCATGAATAATGAAACATTACTTGTATAAAAAATTTTGGTTTCGTAATTTAATAGAATTTAACATTTTTAAATATCGTGATTTCTTCATGTAGTAATTGAACTCAATTTTAGATCTCTTCCTGTGTCTGGTCTCTACTGTAATTTTTTAATACTTTTCAACCACCAATTATTGTCAATAAAAAACTAACAATTTGTGAGAAAGTTCAAAGATTATATATTGTATCATATTTGCAAGTCAATGTAATGTCTATGTTAAAGAGGGTTGATATAGAAATAATGAATACAAAAGATTTTAACTGTCACATCATAAACCAAAACAAATCTGATAGTTGTAATGGAAATAAATTAAAAAGAAGAACAACAAGGGATCATTTATGCCTTCTTGGCTGTCCTTGCACATCCACCCCTTAGGAAATGAAAATGATAAATTTAAATTTATATTTTATTTTTCAGGAAGTTGTCAGTTCTCCTCTGAAACTTCAGTAAGTTGTAACATGCCAGTGGCCACTGCTGTTGATGGCAACTCATTCCATAGGCTAATTATCTTGTTAGAAAAATGAAACTGGCTTAACTGTAGCCCAGTCTGTCTTTCCCAAATTTTAAACTCAAGTACTATCGTCTCTGGGATGTGGCAAAAACAAATCAGGGGTCTGCCTGTATCCTATCAGTTTTCTGGATAATCTTTTAAACTTCAATAAGAGTATCTTTTAACTTATTTTAAGAGATCTTATCCCATCCTCACAAAACAGTCTTCCATCTCCAGAATTATCTTAGTAGCCCTCCTTTGAATCCTTTCCAATTAATCAATAGTCATTTTTATTTAAGAAAACAAAAATTTATACTGTTATTCCAGTGAAGCCAACTGTTGATTTCTATAGAGATAATTACCCCTTTTGTAAATACATCCTAAAACTCTGGTAGTTTTACTATCAGCAACAGGAGCAGTGCTTCAGTGATTTGTCTAGCATTATGTCAAGAGATTTTTACAAGTGGGACAAATGTCAGTGTAATATATATTACCTTGCCCAAACCTGTTTGATATTGACAGCTGTGTTAAAATATCTTCATTTTTATATAAAGACTGGTTTCTAAAAGCAGCTATACTGCAAGTAGTCTCCAAGTACACATATATTACAGGCCAGAGCTCTTATAGAAAAATAAAATGACTTTTAAGTAGTAAGGAATATTAGAGCACTGTTAGGAGAATTTTCCCTCCTATATACACTATTTTAATCTCGCTCATGCTGATTGAGTTGCTTCCTCTCAACATGAAATAGGTGACTTAAATTATAATATTCTTGTACTTACTGTAATGCCATTTGCCAAATATTTTTTCAACTTACCAATCAATCAAAATCATCGTGTAATACTTGAAAATTCTAATCATAGATAGAAATAACCAATTGTAGAATCTGATTAGCAAACTTTACTAATTCATTAGTTATGCCACTATTAATACCATTAATGTATGCAAGAACAAGCAAACGCCCAAGTACTGACCCTTGAGGAACACCACCATAACAAAGTTCCAGTTTGACTAGACTCCATTAATAAATTTTTGTTTTCTTTACCCAGCCACTTTAAAATCCAATTAAATATTTTTTCATGTAGCATCTTATCAAAAGCTTTCTGAAAAATTCAAATCCATGCCTTTTTGGTCATCCAAGTAAAAAGTAACATCTTCAAAAAGTTATTGATGAAATCAGTATTTTACAACACACTAGTTTGGCCTACTTCAGATAAATCATCAGAGTGATTTACACTTCTAGTGTAAATAAAGCTAGTTTAAATATATATATATATAATGTAAATTCATAAATTTATTACTTTTTCATGCCATTCATATTGTTGTTTGAAAGGAGGCCAGAAAATTCAGGAAATGATGGTTCTGACACTCTTGATTGAAGAATGCCCCTCAGTCTTCCAAGATTGTGTCTAAAAAGACACATTGTTGGGTTTTTCTCTTGAACTCTGCCTAATACTGACAGGAAAACTCACCTATAATTACTTCACAATAGATATCTTGATTTTTTATTTTCATATAGATGGCTTTTATAAATATATATCTATTTTTTTAAGTAATGTGATTACATATGAATTCTTGATACAGATTAATAATGTTAAAACCACTGCCGTATTTCACTACATATAATTTTCCTTGAAATAACTGAAGCTATATAGCTTTACTTACAAACATGAGCTGTTACCACTGTTTGTACTGTATAAAATTAGTACTTAAGAGTAGTGGCTTTCAAACTTTTTAGCCACAGCATAATAACCCATAGAAGAGCTCCGAGTTTTTTTTGTTTTGTTTTTTCAAGTAAAAATTTTCAGCTTATTGCTCCATCATCTCTTGACTGATTTGAGATTTATTACAGTTTCGGACTCAGGAAGTCAAACCCTTTTGGTTGATGTTTTTTATGTTATATGTTATGTTATAGATTAATTTACTCTAATTCTGCCTGATATCCTGATGAGTAATGAAATTGAATCACATACACATGCACCCCACATTTGGTATTGCTGCAGCAAAAAATATAGCTAATAAAAAGTCACAGATTAATTTACTCTAATCCTGCCTAAAGTAATTTCAAGTGCCGACACTATAGAGGCTTCCCTCTTGTTTGTTAGAGTATGACCCCAGTTTTGTTTTCCTTTTGGTGGACCACCTTAGGATCTATACATAGTATTTGCTATGCTGCCAACTCCTTTGCATACAATGCAACATTTTCATAAACAACCTGAAAGGAGCCCACATACTACAGATTGATAACTGCTGTGTTTGTATTTTCTGGATATATGTATATGTATATATATATATATATATATAGATAAAATATAATGTGAGAGTATGGTCTAACAACATTTACAAATTCTGTAACAGATTATTTACTCACCATTTGTAAATAGGCAATTTAATACATGTCACACCCTAGATCTGTCAGTAATTAATTTAAAATATACTGTTATTAGCAACACATTTCTTCTGTGCTTGAGCTTAAAGTATTACAAAGAATATATTTTCACAGAGGGTAATATTTGAGACTTCACAAAATGTCATCTTGTTTTACCAAGTCACTTAATTGCTCTTTCTACATTTTTAAGAATCATTTTCGTCTTTTGTTGGTATTAGAGTTGAATGAAACAAGTAACTGTTTTACTTTCCTGGTAAAAGGTAAAACTCGCAGTGACAGGTTTACCTACACAATTTTATGTGGTATTTCACTAACACATTTTATATTTTTTCCCTTAAAAAATCCACAAAGACAATTATTGACACTATTATTATTTATTTATATATTTTTAGAAATATTCTCCTTTTGGGTGCTTCTTTATTGGAGGTGAAATCAAAAAATAATTCCAAATATTGATTTTGTGTCCATGAAAAAACAACAACTTTTCTTTAGGAATAAGCTTTTTTTCTTATCTCTTATTATTTATTTTTGTTTGCTCCCTTGTTATAAGATTAGTATTTAAATTTTTATCTATTACCAATAATATTTTGGTAGAAGACTATAAAACCAAATTAGTCATTGTTGCCATATTTCAAAATGTCATTGCTATAATAATTTAATTAAATTTGAATGTGTCTCATCCGTAAACTTTGGCAAAAAATAACTTTGTTTTAATTATGAACAAAAATAAGTATTTAGCCAACAGGTTTGTTATTATTGTTTAATAGCAGTTTCTGGAAATATTGGCATTGTTTGACATGGCAGCACTGCTAATTTTAATACCACTTATTTTATACTTAAGAATCATTTTCTTGCAAATGTTACATGATAGTATACTGCAGTATTGGTTTTTATATTAATATAGTATAGCTAAATAAACATTTCAAGATATTCTGGTCACAAAGTTTGTGAACTCTCAAGGATAATAACCTCCTTGATCTATTGTACTACATTTGGGTAATATTTTGGTCTCCTAATTGTAGATGTAGGAATAATTACATTTTTAGAATGGCTACTTAATTTCTAACTGAATTTAATTAATTTGTGTTATGGAGAAAAAGGTATTGTTTCTTTAAACACAGCACTAAAAGCATTATGATTCAGGTTTTAAAATCTTTAGGTGTTGAGCAGGTTTTTTGTTGGAATTATTTTTCACTTTTGTATGCTAAAGTAGATAACAATGTAAGTAAAAGAGGTAAGTATTTTTCAATTTTAAAAACCTGAACCCACATTTGTTTTTCTCTTGTGTTTACTGGTTCCCTAGATGATATGGTTAGCACCAATATATAGGCTTTTAATTGAGAAAACTGATTCATTACTACTGGAAGAAATGTGTATGTGTTTTCTCTTTCTGCTTATCTGTGCTTACTTTATCAAAAATTCAATGTAACAAACAAAACTAAAAATATATTTAAGCTCGCAATGTATAGAGTTCAATTAAAAGTTTTAAGAAGCAATCTATAATCATAATTTTTTCTAATTAGGTTGAGCCAGTGATTTAAAAAAATATATAATTTACTATGAAATCATGCTTATTTTCTAATGTTTGAAACAGTTGTATATATCTATGCTTATTAAGATGTCTTATCCTTATTTCAAGATATTGATTTATCCCCCCCAAAAAAATAATTATGAAAAAAAAAATCTTTAAATTCCTCAAGAAATATCATCCTCAACCAAATTGGTTGGTTGTTTTTGCGGGTGAGAGAGTGAATTCAATGGGACAGACTACACTCTGTCACCTTGACCTTTCTTAATATTTCAAATTATTTAGTATAATTTTTTAACTGAATTGTAAATAGTTATTTGAAATGGACTGCTTGTCTGCTTGGTAATACTAAATCCTCATTTATTTTGATTAATCTCTTGTGATATCTTTTTTACTGGTATTACTGTGATCAGAAATAAACTACGTTCTCCGTCTTTTTTATTTTAATTTTTTATCCAGTATTTTTGATTCAGCTACATAAAAAATTGAGTTGTTGTTAACATTGAGAAGAACACTTGTAACATTACTTGGTTCATAAATGATAAACATTTCAAACAATTTTTGAAACACTCAGTGTGGTTCTTTGTGTATTATAGTACATATTCTATTTTGGCAGTACATGTAGAATATGATCATGCAGTGTCTCATGTATTTAATTTCTTACTTGATTAATTTTAACTTGTACTATCTAGAACTGATAGACCATTATGATTGCTAACAATGTGGGTATGAACATCAGATCTTTATCTTTTATAGATACTATGTTCAATGGTATTTTCTGTAGTATAACTAAACTGGAACTGTGCTAACAAGTAATTATTTTAAAACTAAAATTTTATTAAACATTTAACAAATTATTTTACTGAGTTTTATTTTCTTTACCACCAGATCACTGATGAAAATAAAAAATGCAATAAAGAAGATCCATTTGTCCAGCACTTTGAGAACCTCATTACTGAAGCTGACATCAATGACATAAACAGTGGAAAGCACTCTACCCAGGAACAAAAATGGGAGAATTTTGGTGTTTTGCAGTTGAAAACCAGGAACAAAGAAATTAAGAAAAAATGCATATCAAATAAATGTGATTCTACCAATAGTAGCAAATTTTATATTAAAGAAAGTATTTTCAAAAATCTGGAAAATATTCTACAACAAAATACAGAGAGTAATAATAAAGAAATCACACTTACTTCATTTCAGATGGAGCTTTTGTCTATAGTAACTGGTTACCATGACTTTCTTTATACTGAAAGAACTTTCCAGAATGCGAGAGACATATATTTGGTTTATACAGTGCATGTACTCAATCATATTTTTAAAGCGCACACTAAAGTTACACACCACAATAGTAAACTGTTGAAGCATGATTCTGTTGTCTCAGAATATCGAGATCAGGGCCTAACTCGACCACGAGTACTTATTCTTCTACCCTTCAAGGATTCAGCATTAAAAGTAGTAAAAGCTATGATGGAGTTAATTGTATCTGATAATAAAGAGAATGTGATGAATAAGAAAAGGTTTCTAGAAGAATTTACCTCACCAAAACAAGATCCTTCCAAAAAATTGAAACGACCTGAAGATTATGAATGCATTTTTGAAGGAAATACAGACGATGCTTTTCGTGTTGGTATTCAAGTGATGCGTAAAGGTTTAAAGCTCTATGCAGACTTTTATTCTGCAGACATCATTTTGGCATCCCCACTGGGACTTCGAACCATCATAGGAGCAGCAGGTGAAAAAGATCGTAACTATGACTTTTTATCTTCAATAGAAGTTCTCATTGTGGACCAAGCAGATGTCCTTCTGATGCAGAATTGGGATCATGTTCTTCATCTTATGCAACATTTACATCTTCAACCAAAGGAACCACATGGGGTTGATTTTTCTCGGGTATACATGTGGGCCCTAAATGGTTGGGCAAAATACTACCGACAGACTGTGGTGTTCAGCTCTATTAATGTGCCTCCTATCATGTCACTGTTTAGTAAGTACTGCCAGAACTATGCTGGGAGTGTGATGTTGAAGAACCCTGTACTTCATGGATCTATTAATCAAGTTGTGGTCCAGCTTCCTCAGGTAAACATTGGACAAAAAATAAAATAAAAATTTTGTTAACTCAGAGGGGCAAGCTAAGTAAAAGCTATGTTTCATAGTAATCAATTACCAAACCCAATATACAGCAACAGTTATTTAAACCAGTGTGTAGTTTTGAACATAAAATAAACAGGTATTTAGTTTTCAATAAATTAAGATTGATTTTTGAATTTAAAAAAAAAAGCAGACAGGTGGCTTAGTCAACATTGGATAAGTAATGAATGCTGTTTGCCATTAATTAAAACATAATTTATGAGTTACTCAGAAGAGAAACTTACAATCTGAAACCTTATTAGACTCACTTTGTATTAGTAATACATATTCTTATATTATTTGTTTAGGGAATGTCTATTGTGATTGAAAGAGTTACTGAAATGAAAGTAATACTGACATGTCAGGATAGAGTCCTGTTTTTTATTAAAAGGCTAATACATGAAATGACATTTAACTAATTAAATCAATCATGCATTCTGATAGTGTTTGTGAAGATAGTAAATAGTATTGGTTTTGTTTTTTATAGGTTTTTCACAGGTTTGATACAAAAAGCTTTAAAACGGCAGCAGATGACAGGTTTCAGTTTTTCATCTCCAAAGTGTTACCTGATTACAAGGATTCTGTTATGTCACATACTCTTATCTTCATTCCCAGTTATTTCGACTTTGTGCGGCTTCGAAACTATTTTAAGAGAGAAGATTTAAACTTTGTGCAGCTGTGTGAATACACCTCTGATGCCAAGGTTGCAAGGGCACGGAACATGTTTTACCATGGCTGGCGACATTTCTTATTGTGCACTGAACGTTTTCACTTCTACAGACGTTATCGTATCAAAGCACATAGTCTTTTATGGCTTACCTCAATATTCCCATTTTTACAGTGAGCTATGTAACTTTATGCACCCTAACTTGCAGCAAAAAAGAAAGGATGTTGCACATTTAAATGTCACTTGCATGGTACTTTATTGCCGTTATGATGCTCAGGAGCTTGCTGCTGTTGTTGGCACTGAAAAGACAAGGCACATGATAAACTCTGACAGAAAAGTCCATATGTTTGTTAGTGGAGAAGCATAACAAATATGAATATAGATTATGACACTGACAGACTGCCTCAACTGAAACAGCCACCTTGTGTTAGTGTCATTATTTTCCATTTATTTTCTGTATCTTAATATTGAATAACAATAAATACTAAATCATTCTCTTCATTTATGTGGGATCTAGCCTTCTCTTTCTGAAGATGTTTGTTTTTGTAGATATTCACTGAAAATATGCCTTTGTTATCTTTTCTGTAATTATTTAAGAACATTATTTTGCACCTGGTTATCATCCAGACTTCACTAAAATAAAGTCATGTTTCACATACACTGTGAATTACTGTTATAAAGTTCTAGATCCAGAGATGTATACAGATAAGTTGAAAATATTATGACAAATATAATTAAAAGAAAGTTTAAATTCCAATCTGAGTTTGTGTCCAATGACTGAAGAGAAAATCAGGACTTAAATGTGGATTATTATAGTCATATGGTGATCTAATTAAAAGTTTATTTAATTTTAAGATGGTAAATGTACTTTATTAATATATGCATAGAAATTGATTGTATTCTTAACACATGCATACATGTACTCTCAGATATTGATAAATTTGTATTATGATGTCAGGAAATACTCCATCTAACCAACCCATAAACCACATGTGAATGGATTAGTAGTTCACAGTCTTCATAAAAAAAAATATGTTACAAAATGATTTGAATATAAGTATGCTACAAGTAGAATGTTTATAATCTTATTCATTCAAATATATTCCAAATCAATATGTTACTAGCTGTAAGGGTGTTATTTTGTAACAATACACTGTGTTACCCCAAGTGTTTCAAAATCAACACATTACCATCTGTCAGGATGTGATTTTTAACATAATACAGTTTGATACTCCATGTGTTTCAAAATCAACACATTACCATCTGTCAGGATGTGATATTTTAACATAATACAGTTTGATACTCCATGTGTTTCAAAATCAACACATTACCATCTGTCAGGATGTGATATTTTAACATAATACAGTTTGATACTCCATGTGTTTCAAAATCAATACATTACTAGCTGTCAGGATGCCATTTTTTAACATAATATGGTATTTTACCGATGAAGTTAAATCATAGAGCTCCATATTGATGTATTAACACTAGAGCTGGGTGATTAACTCAATTAATCAGTATAATTGAATACCAGTGAGCATCAATTACATTTTTATTGTCAGGTGAAACAATCAATTAACTGAGAATATGATTAAATCAATTAGTCACAAAAATAATTAACTAATCAAAATTAGCATTTACAATTATTACTACTATTCAAGTCTTCTGTGAGAATAATTGATAGAGTGAATGTAATTGATTAATGAGCTTGATGGTTAAACGATTAACAAATTACACCAATAATCTAGCCCTAATTAAAACCAAAGTACTAGTTAAAATTAGTAGTCATTGTTTTTTATGCCACTGAGGTGTGTGTGTGTATAGCAACGTAAAATTATGTATTTTCGTCAAAATCAAAATCTCTTGAACATAAAAGTTTAGATCAGGTACTAAAATTAAACAATATTTTATTTAAGTAATATTCAAAAAGGAGGGGACCGTAGCATTTGTGAAGTTAAGTAACTTGCTTTGATCAGTAGTCAACATTAATTACCTAAACAAGTATTATAAATCACAATTTGAAGCATAATAAAATAATTTCTATATTTTTAGAGAATTTGTTGATTTGGTCTTTTATAATTGTAAGATTAAATTTGGAAAAATATCTACAGCTCTTGATATCTACTTTAAGATTGCAATTCTGATAATTTTTAATAATGTATTAACGTAACAATAGATGGCGCTTCAATATATATATATAGAGAGAGAGAGAGACAGAGATTACGATTTTAGTAATTCGTGTACACAACTACATTTACATGAAACTCTTCCACCATTAGTACTTGAAATATAGGATAACGAGTACGTTTTTATATATAAAAAACAGTAGATTTTTAGTTATTTCTAATAAAAAGGCTTTATAAAAATATTTGATCCAAATAACCTTGGTTTTTGTTTTAGCACAAAGCTACACAAATAGTGCTATCTGTTCTATTCCACTGCGCGTACTTAAAACAATTTTTTATCGTTATAACCCCTCGGACAAACCGCAGAGCCACCTGGGAACATAATCTTGGTAAACAAAGATGTTCTATGTACCAAAATTGGTTTTGTTTTTAACTAACATCAATCTTCATTAAAATATTTAGGCCTTTGGGGAATTATAACGTTGTAACATTATAAAGTGTTTTTGACAGAAGCGTGGGTACTTAATAACGTTAAGCTTATTCAAAATTTGTTAAAACCGTGAGTAAACCTTGCCAGTAAAGTTAATATATTTAAATATGGAGGCTTGTTCACAATTCAATGCTTGGATAATGTTCATTTTTTTAAACACGAAAAAGTTCATTAAAAGTAAATCATATATCCAACATTTGTTTTTTCTTAACTACATATCACTGTTACAGACTTTCCACAATATTTTACATTACTAATGCATACAAGAAAGTCTGGATACAAAAACGCATTCTGCATTATGGGGTCGTGAGTATGCTATAAGAGCAACGTTCAAATCTCTATTCGGTCAGACAAGAGTTGACCGTTGGTGCTGTGGATTAGCAGCCATCCCTCTATATCAGGCATGAGTTGGTAGTGGATGCTGTTAACTAGCAGCCTTCCTTCTGGTTCAAATAAGAGTTGGCCTTGGGTGCTGTGGATTAGCAGCCATCCCTCTAGGTCACACAAGAGTTGGCAGTGTATTCTGTTGACTAGCAGCTTTCGCTCTAGGCCAAACAAGAGTTGGCAGTGGATGCTATTGACTAGCAACCTTCCCTCTAGGCCAAATAAGAGTTGGCCGTGATTGTTGTGGATTAGCAGCCTCCCCTTTAGGTCAGACAAGAGTTGGCAGTGGATAATGTTGATTAACATCCACCCCTTTAGGTCAGACCAGAGTTGGCCTTGGATGCTTTTGACTAGCAGCCTTGTCGCATAAATCCGCAAAACATAGGGTCTAAAAATGTTTTGCAGAGAATTAGATTAACATGGACAACAAATCAAGTTTGAACAAACATTAGTGTAGAGATAGAACAAAACTCGATACATGAAAAATAATGAATTAGCCTTCAATCAACTGACCGGTTTTCAATTCTTGTTGACTTAAACTGTCTGCTGGGACAGAAATCAGGATAAAATAATAATAATAAACTGAACACGAAAGGAGGGGAAATAAAGAGTGATGAAGATACCACACTTAAATTACACCCATGTCACAGTGTGGTATCCCACAGTCTCTAGGTTACTCACGTAAATGACGAATCCATATATATTCAAAGGAGATAAGCCCCAAACTCACATAGCTTATACAAGTCTCTATAAAACCCTTTGAAATAAGTATGACCTCAAGTAAAAATAAAATAGGTAAAAATGTTCTGGAACAAATTGTTATGTTTTGTATTCATTGTCTAAGCAAGAACATTAGTGGAAATTTACATCTTTAGTACTTTCTGTTTACAAGGATATCATAACTACCTGCATAACACTTGCACGAGAATGTTGAAAACAAATAAAGAGATTTTTTTTTCAGGTGTCACTGGCGCGAGGTCGAATTCGTCTGAAACCTCTCTAACTAGAAGTCCTCGCCAATTTTGAAGTGAATTAAGCTCATTGGAAGATGCTCGGATGAAAAACAAAATATCTAGTAGTCAAGAATCATAGCTTTCTATAGGAAAAGTTAGGATTTAAACTATATTACCTCTTATTGTAATAGGTTACAAAGTACAGCAAGGTTAAATGGCGCGACCAATCAGGCCAATTACAGACCTTCCCTATGAAAAGGTCATCTAGTAGGATGTAGAAAGTTTGCTGCATCTCACAGTAGGAATAGTAAATGCATTCACCCCTCTTCTGTAAAAATGCTCAAGCACCAGTGGGTGTTTGTTTCAAAGAGTTCACATAATGCTACCTGCTAGAAAAGAGAAAAAGCAACATTTAACAGCCCCGTCTACTAACTTTTGGGCAACTCTTGTCTGACTAAACATTGGGATTTGACCATCACTCTTAATATAAACCCCTGTCCCCAAAGTGTGGGTCACGTTTTTGGCAATGGACCAAGAATAATAAATATTTGAATTCACAGTATGAGCACGTTAACTACTAGGCCACGGCTAGCCACCTAGTAAATATTCAAACCACATCGATTCTATCTAACAGACATTTGACTGCCCCAGGTTTTAAACAAGCATGTATGATACATTACGCACACATAAGTTCTTTCTCTACTGTCTGATTACCAAATTAGTGCTGGTTTCAATGAGAAAAGAGGTAAAACTGCGAACCCTTACATCAGTTACTGAAATTATGTTATTTACTTTACAAGAAACGACCAATGCATCTAAACTTGAAAGTTTTGTCTGCTCTATAATATCAACCTGCCTTCTAACTCAAACGAATAAATCAAAATAATGCAAATAAAATAGTTATTTTATGTAACCAACACAGAAATTGTTACTATGATAAAATATATTAGTAACGGTTTTTAATTACTATATTTTACTATATTCAGTATTTAATATAAGAAAACCTATAAGTATTTGTAAGATTTTGTGTTTTGACTATATATTTAAGCTGTTTCTTTTTAATATTAATATAATTCTGTCACTGTTCTCACGATAAAATAGATAAATATTTCAATTTTGTGAGCTTTCTTCTCAAAGGTTTTAGCAACAAACCAGATTCAAGCTCTCAAAAACCAAAATCAGCAACAAAAGAGCCATCTATTGCTTTCGTGGAGAAAAAATCCTCTTAAAATTATAATGATCCCTCGTGATGAGTTTCAAATCCCACTGTTTGTTTTTTTATTTTTAACTCAGAATGATGGTTATTGCCACCACTAGATGTAGTGTTTTCTGTAGTTATACTTCTGATTCAATTTCGAATTGAAAACGATCGTAAGCCTAATAGTAATACTACAATTAGTACTCTGCATGTAATTTGCGTTTTGTTTTTAAGAGTGGAACATTTATAAAAACTAAAAAAGTAAGTATTGCCGGTTATAAAATTACCGTATGTTGTTTGTTATACACTGTCAGTGTGATTTAATGAAAAAAAATGAAAATGCACATCTAGTTCAAGTTCCAGAGTCAGGGTGCATGTACATGTGATGTAGATTATTAGTATTACACTTGTTTTACGCAAATTACAGTAATATTATAATTTTTATTTAGTTTACTGTATTTTACAACGTTTATGGCTGTAGTACTGGTTGTAGTATACTATTTACTACTATATTATAGTATTAAGTATTATTAATATTACTGTTACTACTAGTACTATATAGTAGTACTAGTACTAGTAGTAATAAACTGTAAAAGCTATGGAAATTGAATTATGGAGGTCGAAAGACAAAGTCTGCAAAATGGGCGTTCCATACTTCAAGTTCATTACTTGTGTTACTGTGGAAAGAAGATCTACATTTTTTTCCACCAATACAAAATTTAGTTTATTTACTAATAAGTTATAATTCTTTTAGTTTTATTTCTGTAAGATCCCAGTTTAAAATAATTTTATGATTTAAAATAGGTGAATATTCTGATATTGATAGTTTTTTTAATCAGTTACATAATGCTGCTTGCACCAGTACTGTAGTATCATATTCATATGCCAGAATCTACAAATTACAATGTGTGCAGCAATGAAAAAACGTGAGACTTAGTATTTTAAAATATGGCACAGGTTGGTCCTGTGACAGAACTGATAAGCTTGGTTCAAATCTGTGCAATACTACAAAATGTTCCTGACAGTAAACTGTGCATGTGTTATAAAGAGTGGCAGTTAATCTTTTAGTTGTAGCATGTGTGGTACTAGTAGTATTGTGGTAGACTTGCTAACTGTCTGCCTACCCTGTGGTTAGTTGTTCAAAATTAGGGTAGTTTTAGTAAAAGTAGCTTTGCCATGAATACAACTGCAAGGATTTTAAACCTGCACATTTAAGAGAAATGTTCATTAGAAAAAACACACCAAAAGTAGAAATTGATTTTGTAAGGTGAGGTATTCAGTTAAAACTGCATACATCTTGTACAATTATGTTTTATATTTCACTGAGAAGAAAGAGAAATTATGAAATTTCCTCACTAATTGCAGTTTAAATAAAAGTGAAAAGTGTGGATCACTGATTCATTATATTACTGGATTTTCATGTTTTAGTCTTCCTACCTTCCCTTATCTCAAGGCCTCGCATGTTGGTTAAATATATATATCTAATTTTATTTATTGGTTTCTATTATTCTTATTTTTAATATTCATTTTTTTTACTGTAATGATTAGTTTACACAGTGCTAATTTTAGTATTTTGTTTTCTCATGGAGCTTATTTCACATTGTTAGCTTAGTTTATGGATATAGGACTAACCTAAATCTGTTAAGCAGGCCAAGCCAAGTAAAACTTTTAATAATGATGTTAGTTCAGACTTAGATATTGGTATAAACAAGTAAAACTCTTACCATAGTGTAGACACCCAGTGTTGACTAGAATATTTAATTAGAATGATTATTCTGCATTGTTAGCTTAGTATATGGATTTTGGACTAACCTAAGATTTGTAGGCTGGCCAAGTTTTGTGAGATATTGGGTTTGCGTCCGAAAAGGTCGTTAACAAAAAAGGGTATACAGATGATGAAAATATGCTTTCTAATCATAGTATGTAATATAGTTTGAACACAATATTTAATTACCTATGCTCATTACTAGATATACATTTTTAGTTTTGATCTATATAAGTAGTTTCCTCTGATCAAAAGTTAATAATATAATTGGTTGGTAGTTAGGGCACTTGAGTAGCAAGTTTTAAACCCAGCAATAAACATGATCACCCTTTCAGCCATGAGAGTGTTATAATGTGACAGACAATTCCTAGATTCATTTGTAAAGAGCAGCCCAAGAGTTGGTGGTGAGTGTTTGCTGCCAGCCAATTTCCTTCTATGTAGTTGGCAGTTCAAAATTAGGGATGGCAGCAGATAGCCTTAGTAGCTTTGCCATAAACAAACAAACCCAATTGTCAATGCATATTATTTAATAAGAGACAGCAGACATGAGTGTTAATGTTCCTTTGGGGTTGTTATTTTGAGTAGTATAATTTGTAACTTTAGAGCCATATTAAATTGGACACAAGATGTTGTTAGGGGGGATTGTGTAAAGCTTTGCATATTCTGGTGTCACATTTATCAAAGGACTTGGAATAGATGATAGCACATAAAGTATACACCTAGTTTTTTAAGCTTTTTCTTTAATGCGGTAGTATTAGTTAAAATACTTAGTTTGTGTACTTATTTTACTTCATTTTATTTTATTTTTATTAGGACTAACATAAACCTCTTAAACTGACCAAATCTGCTGAGATATTATTAGGATTACTGGTGAAAATACTGCTAATAATGGGGGTACCCAACTGATGAATTAAAGCATTCTATTCATTTTAAGTAAAAATGATTTACTTACTATTACAAGTAGTAATACAAGGTGACAAGCAACTAATCAGTCTTGTTGAGGTTGTCTCGAAATCTTCATATGAAGTAAACCAAATTATAAACATCATAAGTATATGTATTTAACAGCATATGTACAAAAAAGAGAGTCTAAACTACAATTACACATCCCATAATCAAGTATTTCAACATTTGTCATTGTTGTATAGAAAAATTTGTACATTACAATTTTGTTTATAAAAATTAGTAATTCAGTATTTCTAATTACCAATTTAATAACTATTTATTTTAGGTGATGGACCAGGCTTCCAGGAATTTAAGAAAACCTGAACCTGAGCAACGTGAAGAAACTCAGTCCATTAAAAGAGATCAGACTATGGCCAAGCGTCCGAGTAGAAAATTTCCTAAACGAAGAAGAGATGTGTATGTTAACTCCAAATCTTCTTTCAAAGCGCAGCTGGAAAAATGTAAAAAGTTGTTAGAGAGTGGAGAAACTGATATTTGTATTCATGGACTGGGAGGAGCAGTTAACTGTGCTGTCCATTTGGCCCTGGTCTTGCAGTCAAAGTATATGAATACCATCAAATTGGCTGTTAATACATCAACTGTGAAACTGTTTGATGATTTATTGCCTGAGGAAGATGATTTAGAACCAGAGACTTCAATTCGAAACAATTCAGCTGTTCATATACTCTTACATCAAGTTGACCTTTTAAAGTAACAAGTTCATGAAAAAGTTAAATATATCTAGCAATAAACACTTGTGTAGACAATTTATATTTTGGATAAATCACTTCTCTGTGAAGAAATGTATGTGATGTGGTTATTGTGTTCATATATTGTGATTTAACTTCATAAAAGAATTAAAGAATATGAAAAAATAAATACATAGCTGGAGAGAAAAAAAAACATTTAAGGCCAAAAAAAAAGTAATTACTGGAACTTTACCACAAACTGTATTTTTGGTTTGTTACTTGTGGATTTTGATTGATTCAGAAAAATATTTTGTTAGAAACATTGGTTTCACCAACCATGTTTTCAGTTTTGTATACTTTACAACGTGTCTGTCAGACTATTTGGAAACACACTAGCTTAAAAATACACAGACACTATACAGGTTTGTGATATAAATTTTTTTTAATGTTCTTTTCTAGTAAGTTGATTATTTTATGACAATTAGAGTACATGGCTAGTGTTTTAATACTCAGAAATGTGAAAATTTCTCTGGACTTTCTCAACTTTTGTGATATGAAAGGTGTTACAGGTTGTAAGGAAAAGTTTCCAAATACAGTTCACTAATTATTATAGAGTTAACTGATTTACAGATATTTCAATTACTATCACATATTATTAAAGTAGTATTTAGTTTTTGCTTTCAATGCATATACAGTATGTACATACTCAAGTCCCCCTGAAATGTAGTATTTATAGTAATATATATATACACACACACACATTGTGACTTTTTTTCATACATCAAACGTGTGTAGTTCTTAATTGAAGTATCTGTAGCCGAACGTTTTGGAAATTTTTACTGTAGTTGGAACTTTTAGGGAAGGAGACAAATATATGACTTCGCCACTGGTTGGGAAGAACTGTAACTATTCAGATACATTACCTGAAAGTTAGATTTTATTATATTATTGAAATCTCGGGGTTTTATTGCAATTAACTATCAATATTTCAGCCTAAATAATATGAAGATCACACCGCAAAATCAAGGTAACGTTCTACGCCAAGGTTATCGGAGAATAAGCAAATTGGTTTTAAGTGCTTTTATTTTATTTTTTTTTTGTTTTATTCAATATTAAAGGGAATTGCGTTTTTATTATGTAACGGTGGAAAAGAAACATTTTAGCAATTAATGGTCAAATCAGACGTACGAAAATTATGTTGTAGTAACAAATGGTTATATGTAAATAAAACAAAAAAGGGATCATTTTCCGACGAGGCGGATTTGAACCACCGACCTATGGATCACAGCACAACCTCTACAGTCCACCGCTCTACCAACTGAGCTATCGTCGGATAATAGAATTTTGTACGGTATTAATTTTTATAAGAAAACTAATACATATATGTATTTAAAATTAATAGATTTATCATTGTGATGAGAAATTAAGATACATACTTAACAATAACTCATATATGAAAAACTAAACAATGATAGTAATATACAGTTTTTCTGAATAACTTCATTTTCGTGCGAAAATGTCGGGATACATTTTGTGATTTACTTTCTCATAACATTACGTTCAGTATTTGTTGATTTTTTTTCTCATCTTTCCTAGAAGAATCAGAAAAAATATCCTGCATTTATGAAATAGAAACCACTGCATTTTCATTTTGCTGCACTACCCGTGATTCGCCGCTGGCAAATTAAAATTCATTTGAGTTGCTAGATTCACATGAAGGATCAACATCTGAGGGTATTTCATCAAACTGGAAACTTTTTACGACTTGCTGGAATATAGTAAAAATAAACTCTATAGTATGAAAGAAACGTTTATCATGTGCTGATGACCACAAAATGAAACAGGACCAGGAAGTCCCTCCCAAAAAATTCATGTTTTTGATTTATTAAACTACAGTAACAATACATTCAATGTTGTTATAGTATCACAAGACTAAATGCATCGCAGTTATCCAGTAAGATAAATATTTCTTGCTTATTTTAATATTTCTAAAAACTAAAGAGGCCAACATTTGCCGGCGAATGCAATATGTCTTCGCCAATGCAATCCTAATATGGCCAATTTTGACACCAGAAAAATCGAAAACTGTCTATATCACTGCTTGAGACATGCAAGAAGTTATCTGTGTACCCCATATCATGTAAATTATTGACATAGACATCAATAGTTCATGAAAATCCCAAATTATGTTTTTCTCACTGAAAAATTGAGCAAAAGATACAAATTTGTGCGAGTTTGAGACCTACTAGATCCTACGTAAATTGCTCGGAATATGGCTAAGTACTTGACCAAAACCCCTACAATTATGGTTTAAATTTTTGACCTTAAAAATGGGCATATCCAAAATTTTTATACCCTTGTCTATGCGACTTGTAAAAAAGTATCTTCGTACCAAATGGCCAAAACACGTAAATTGGTCAAAATATGGCCGACTGATTGACATAAAACACAAAAATTATGCTTTTTGTGAGCTCTGCCCTTCCCTCGCAAGAAAGACTTGAAATGGACAAATCCAACTTCTTTGTATTATGAACCACGATAATGGTTCATAATAGGGATCGTACCAGAATTTGCTCAAAACTCTAATAGAACATTCGTGCAAAAACCTCTTTAAAAGCAGGCTTATTCTTGAAACAACACTCAAATCCTTCCTTTTCAATAGTTAATATCACCCAAACATTGATAATAAGCAAAATAAGTGTTTTCACGATTGTCAGACAGAATCAAAATTTGCCAATTTGTTCATATTATTAATATTAATGTTTCACAAACCTACAGCAAAATAAGTTAGGTATTTTGCACCAAAGCTTAAATAGATACTCCAAATGAAACGCTGTAAAGGTCCATGACCTATTTAAAATTTGATTGTTTTTAATTGAAAGTTGATTTAAGTAATTATAAATACATAATAGCTGCGATGTTGTTATGAGCGGCTGCCTTTGTCCTTTACGTGTATTAAACGCGTGTTTACACGAAACCTCAGGCACAAAGCTACCTGGCTCAGTAAATAATTACTTTAAAAGACATGAAGCTTTATTTAAAGTGATGTTTTAGACGTATTTGTTTTATTTGTAAAGGGTGCTTTTCTACGGGTAAAATGTTATCCGCGTTTAATGGGGGTTGTGTCTTACTCTAGGCACATATTTGATCATTGCTGTGAATTAACAAAGCCAACATACAAGATATTGTAATTGAGATTTTAAAATCTACAATAGGGATCGAAAAAAAAATAAAGCTGGAGTTCTGCCGCTGACACTTTGCTCAAGTTACAAATTCCTATTATAGCTCCATTATAAAATTATTGCAAGTCACTTCATTTTCCATCGGCTCGGCATAGCCAGGTGGTTAGGGCGCTCGTCTCGCAATCTATGGGTCGCGGGTTCGAATCCCCGTCACACCAAACATGCTCGCCCTTTCAGCCGTGGGGGCGTTATAATGTGACGGTCAATCCTACTATTTGTTGGTAAAAGAGTAGCGGTGGGTGGTGATGACTAGCTGACTTCCCTCTAGTCTTACACTGCTAAATTAGGGACGGCTAGCACAGATACCCCCTCGTTCTGAAGAAATTTATTTGTTACTGCTCGTCTGTTGTTACATTACACTGTTATATTGATGGAAGCCGGTCATAAGATCTGTAATGATACAATCTTTGCCTTCAAGAGGGCCCTTTGAGAACAACTTTACGTTTTGTTTGTTGTAGTTGCATACCAGTACATGTGTTTATTCTTTGTTGTGCATTTTTTATTGATTATTCATTGAGGTGGTTGGGTGGCAGAAAAGCCAATGCAGCAATAAACTGTTGAAACAAATGTAACATTCAACTGAACGCATATGCACGTATGTGGCTTAAAATTTATTCTCCATAAATGGATATAAAAACTTAAGAAACAAGAATAGTAAAAACTGTTAACTTGAAAATGTGGAATAGGGATCGTCAAAACGTACAGAAACAAAATGAATAAAAATTAAAAGATTATATTTTCAAGCCTAATGTAAACACTATTTCTATCTTTGTTTGTTTACTATTTTTAGAGTCCCTAGTTGTAGGCTTGAAAATATAAACTTTTCATTTTGATTCAACTTGTTTATGTACATTTTGACGATCCCACAAACACCTATTCCGCCTTTTTAAATTAACAATTTTTACTAATCTTGTGTCAATGTTTTGGACACATGGAAATTTATATTTGTACCAATTTTCATCTTGATTGCTATAAATATGACCGCACAGGAGCCAAAAATATACATTTTTGGGTTCTGAACGTATTGAATCAACGTATAACCTTAACAAGTATCCTCCATCAATCCGCCGATAAATGGAGGAATGGCGGTCGATTGAAAAGCGAAGAAGAAGAAGGAAAAAAACAAAGAAGAATAAGAAACAATAGAAAAACAGTATATTTGTGGAGACATAAAAATATTCAGAGAAACGAACATAACCTTCTTGCTTTGCTTGTGCCCGATTGACATGTACACAAAGTGAAAATGATCCACACGGCTACAAGAAATTATGAAATAGCTTACTATGCCATCTAGTGTGGCTTAGGGACCCTTCAACCTCTATGGACTGCAGAGTCCCATCAGGTTACAAGCAATACAAACAATTATATAAACTCCTTGGTTAGGTGTGACTCACAGGACATAAATGGTCAAGTATGTAGTTCGACGGCAGGACTTCAATAAATTGTGTAAAAAGTACGGTGAATGATTTTCTTCGGTTTCACGAGTACATTTCCAGCTTGGACGTTGTGTGTTTGAGAATTTAAAAAAAGTTGAATATATTC